CTGTGGTCCCTTCTAACTTGACTGATTCTGTGGTTCTCTCCTTCCTCTTCCCTGACCCACGCAGAACTTCCCCAAGCACATCACACAAGCCAGGGGTGCCACATCCCACACCTGATGGCCCCTCCCCTGCCCAAACAGTGCAGGAATAGCTGGCAGAGGTCCCAAGGCCACCAAGACCACCATTCCAACCTACGTGCCATGGCACTCTGGAAAGAACAGGCTTCCACAGCCCCTTTCTGCCTTCCCTGGGATCTGAGACTGTCCTGTGGCCACAAAGACCTCGGTATGTCAGCAGGCATAGCCCTTGGACTGAGCTGGCCTGCAACTTTGTATACAAAAGAGAATAAATAAAACTGTTACGGTGATAGAATAATTTCTTGCCTGGCAAAGGGATTCATCAGATTGTCCCTTTCTCAGGATACCAGCTCCAGGCCCCTTGTGACACAAGGAAAGATGTGCCTAGCCCTGGCTCCTTGACCTCAGCACCATTTGTGGAAAGACCCATCAGGTTCATTGGAAAGAAAAAACATATAAGGCAATTGTTTTGCTTCCACTCTTCCTTTTTAATGAAACACTTTCCAGTGTTTTAAGCAAAACACGACTTTTAGTTTTGAAATTTCCTTTCGAACCATTAAAATGTTTTAAAGCGGTTGAAGGCGAAGTGAGATGTTTTGATTTTTGTCTCTCTGAAATGTTTCACTCAACACATTCTTCATGTGTCTTAGATTTGCCAGAATTTTTCAAGGGTTTCTGCTTTCTCACCCGAGACGTATCTATATATTTTCTACTTTTTTGAAAAGGGATTAAAAAAAAAAAAAAAAGGAGAAAAATATCGTTTATCTCCACGGCTCCACAGGAAGTAGAACTGTATCCAAGAAACAAAGAGCCAAGGGACTCCTCTACAGAGGTCCAAACTTTCAGACACTTAGTCATGCCTTCACTTGCTTGCTCACACACCAAGTCTAGACATTTGCTGTCTCAAACCCTGGCAGGGGTTCTCCCACCCCCAGAGGTCAGCTCAGGGTCTTTTAGGCTTGATATAGAACAGCTCCAAGGAGAGCCAGTGCAGCAGAGTTGAACGTGCACAGCGGAAAAGAGAGCACGATGAATGACAGGGACATTGGGGACCATGGGATTTAGTGGCCTGCTGCCCCCTTGTTTAGAAGATCATTGCCCATTTTCCAAGTCACAAGGCAATGCCTCAGCACACAGGAGAGCACAGGAGCCAGAAGACCCTTTGGGGAGCTGGCATATGTAAGGACATGTGGCACACAAGGGGTTGGTGAGCCCCAGGAAACCCCAAGGCATTCAGAGAGAGCAGGGCAGAGCGACCCAAGCAGCTCCAAGGGAAGCATCCCAGCACGGGGCCTTGGAGGAGCTATATGCCAAGGCAGAAATGGCCAGGACTGCCTCTGCTGTCTGCTGTAAAATCCTTCCTGTCAGAGATAACTAATCCTGGGGCCTTTACAACACCTCTCCTGAAAAGCACATTTCATTCCTCTGTCTCTTCCTGCCTTCCAAGTGCATGAGACTGCAATAGGTATTACCGAAAATATTCCCCATGGGAGCCGACACTGGACTCCCTTAAAACCCAAACACCATCACCCCTCCTTCCCCAAGACACAAGTGAGCACTATGCTCTATTATCTCTACACCCACTAAATCTTTCTGAAATAAAGAATAAACATTTCCACCACACATAGTGTAAGTGTATGTGCCAAGCTGCATCGCTTCCTCTCCTCTGTGGTTATTATAAAGTGGTTTTGTTTCAATGGCGAAGCAGATGGACAGTTTCCAAGTCTGGCCTCCCCACTCCCTCCGAGTACATCTAACACTATCTTTGGTTTATCACAGATTCCTGAAGAAAATGTTTATGGGAGCCTCTTGTTTAAAATCTTGGCTCCGTCGCAGTATGATTCCTATTATTTATTAAATGAAAATCAAGCCGTTGTTAATGCACCATTACTGTGGCAAAGTGGAGCCCTTGGAAACAAAGGCCAAACACACTCTCTTTCTCTGAGCGTGAGGGAATCATCCCACTGTCACCATCCCTCAATGCTCATGCCGCCATGAAATGAGAAGCGGTTTCCTGGCCTGGGATTCCTTAAACATTTCCTTTTGCTGAGGACAGCCATGGACTCTTTCGCTTTGCTGCCCCAAACCTGTCATCCTAGAGCCAGACATCATACAGATCGTGCCTCACACCATAGGAGGGGCTCTACCTAAGACACCTCTGTGGCCATGCCGTTCTCTGTTCACCATGACCAAACTAATTTTCCTCCCTCTTCTGCAATTTTCCTCTAAAGAAAAATTTTCCATGGAAATCCCTGCCTATTTCCCAGCCAGCCTCAGCCCCCGTAACACAATGAGCTCTGTACAGATAGCCTCCCCTGAGTTGGAGCGTGGCAGCGTTTACATTCCTGACTGATTTTCAGAGGAGATTCTTAAATTTTCCAGGAAATGTCGTGTTGCTGCTTTGAAGTGATTGTTTATTTGTCAATTTAGTCATTAACCTTCTTCCTTACTCCTTTGGCTTTTGATAAGACAGAAAATGTCAAAGAGACGGGAAATAGGCTCAGAATGATTTCCCCTGGTGAAGGACCCCAATCCCCAGAAGCAAAGGGAGTTTTCCCATCAATTTGAGCAGAGATGCAACTTTGCTTCCAATGCCAGGTTAAATCAGCCTTCAGGTTTTTGCAGGGTTTGTACATTAGACTTTAGAAAAGCACCTGGGTCTTCTGGAGGGAACTCAACCTGGAGATCTCAAAGCCCTTTCAAAATGAGCTAAATACCCCTGATACCAGTTAGGGTGGAAAGAGCCAGAATTAGATTCCTACTCACCCCATTCCCAGCCTCATGTTCAATCTCCTGCATCACGCTGGCTTTGCCATGGTCATGGTTTATCCTATGGAGAAATTTATGTCTTAATTAGTATGATGCTTATTAATTTTACCTATTCATTAAATTATTATAAATAACTCCAACACAGGTAAAATCCTACAACCACAAGAGAAGGGACCAAGTTCTGTTCACACAAACATTTTGTGGTTTGTAAACTTGTTTGTTATTTATTCAAATGCAAGGAACAAAATTCTTACCATCAGAAGTTTACCAAAAAGAAAAACGTCTTTGCCCAATAGCTGAC